GCCTTATTGTGATACTCATTTTATTGCGGTTGTCTGGAACTGAACTTGCATTACCTCTAAGGTATGCCCATATATCATTGGACAACCCCTTTCAAGTCTCAGGGCCTTTCTATAAAATGAGTGGTTTTGACTAGATTGTATTTCTCAAACTTCTGTTGGTAATTCATTAAAAAAAGATGTATTTTTTAATTTCTCAACTCAGTATATATACTTATTTGAAATAAAAGATACACGAAAACTTAGGTGCAATATAACATACTTTAATATTTTTCTGATTTATTCTAGTTGTAAAAAAACACTAGTTATGGGCCTCCCCAGGGGCGCAGAGGGTTGAGCTCAGTGCTGTGAGGCTGTCCACAGTCTCTGCAGCTCAAGTTCGATCCCCCGCCGGCCAGGGAGCAGACCACATGGCGCAGCAGATCTCTCCTACTTCTCCAGCTACTCCCCTCAACAGTGTACTTCGGTCTCTCTGCCTATTCTGTTCCCTGCTGTCTCTGGTGGATCCTCTCACCTCCCACACCTCTGGCCTGTACCCCAGTTCTTGTAATCATAAATAAATAAATCTTTAAAAAAATAAAATAAACACTAGTTACTAGGATGGCTAAAATTAAAAGACATAATAACAAGTAGAAATGAGGATGCTAAGAAACTGGAAACCTTCCACACTGCAGAAATTGTGGAGGATATGGCAGTTTCTTAATAAGTTAAACACAGAATTACCCTATGACTGGCAGTTTTAGATATATATATATATATAAAAAACTATCTATATATCTACATATATGTCTTATATATACACTTCCCAAAGTTGAAAACAGGTGTAAAAATAAAAAACCTACACATGAATATTCATAATAGCACTATTCATAATAGACAATAGATTGAGAAAACCAAGTGCTTCATCAACCACTGAATTGTTAAACATGGTATGGTATATTCATGTTACGGAATATTATTCAATAATAAAAAGGAATGAAGTACTGGTTAATGCCACAAGATGGATGAACCATGAAAACATTATGCTATGTGAAAAGCAGCCTGTCATAGAAGGTCAAAGATTACGATTCTATTAACGTGAAATGCCCAACAAGCAAATCCACAGACAGAAAGTAGACTGCAGTTGTAGGGGTTGGGGTGAGGAGAATAAGGTGGGACTGCTAATGGGTATAGAGTTTCTTTTTGGGTAAAGAAAACATTCTGAAAGTATATAGTGGTGATGGTTGCACAAAATCTTGTGAACAAACTAAAAATTCATGAACTTAAAAAAAATTAATTTTATGGTATGTAAATTCATCTAAATAAAGCTGTTATTTCTTAAAATTTTTAACTACTGGTTAAAACCCATAAGTTAATTTAATGAACTAAAAGATTAGATGATGTTTGGTTCTTTAAAAAGTTATATTATTTTTTCTACCCAGTCCCCCACTACACACCCACCACCCTCTATAAAAGCAAATATATTTTAAACCCATAATTTTGCCTTTTTAAATTTCAGACTGAACCACAGACTATAAAATCCTTTTTTGGGGGGCATCTGAACAAGTATTTATTCACTACTTTAATTCCTTTTTTTTCTAAAATGTTTTTATTTTTAGTGATGTATCATTGTTTTTAAATCCTTGTTCACTTTTTTCGAAAGTATAGGCTTGCTCCCTTTAGATGTGGTTACTATTGCTCTCCCATTACCAAAGTACCCATATTCCATCACCATACAGAAGTTAAATTTGTCAAGCTTACTGTATGTCACATGCTTACATACATTTTTTTCACTTGATCCTCAAGAAAATTTTGAAACTGATGCTCATAAAATTGCTTGCCCAAGATCAATAACAAACTCTTAACTCCAGACATCCCTGAACTTTCCAATATGCAATAGTGACACGCATTTCTAAGCATATAATAGAACGATACAAGTTTTTTTAAGAAGGAAAAAATAGGGCCTCTCTGGTGGCACAGTGGTTGAGTGCTGGGCTGCAAGGCTACCCACAGCCTCTGCAGCACCAGTTCGATCCCCGGCCACCAGAGGAGGATCCCACATGGCGCGCAGACCTCTGCCGCCCGCTGCTCCCCTCAGCAGTGTACTTTGGTCCTTCTGCCTGTTCTGTTCCCTGCTCTGGCTCTGGTGGATTCTCTCACCCTCCCACACTTCTGACTACACCCAGTGCTTGTATAAAGAAATAAATAAATCTTTAAAAAAAAAGGAAAAAATAAAACTTACGGTTACTTAATGGGTGAAATGAAGTCTTTGTGTCACAAGACTGAACAATATAGCAGTTAATTATATTTTCAGTGGGATTATATATAGTTAACAAGCACTATAAGCAAGATTGGTTAACTAAGTAAAGATTCAGTTAACTCTCATTTTAGCAATATGAACAAATTAGTAAATTTTCAAATGGTCCTAACATTTTAAATATTAAATCCAGTACCATAGTATCAACAGTTCTAACAATGTTACTTACCAGGGGGTTAAAAAACCTCCCTCACAGAATGGACTAAATTTTGGAAATATCTATTGCAGTTGAGCAAATATCTAATAGCAAAATCATTAACTTCTCAAAAGTAGTTAACTCAAGGTATAATGGTACTGGAATTTTGTTTGTTGGAATACATTTTACCTTAAAAAACAACTTAAGGTCATAATCCAGCAAAATTCTAGTATATTCCATGGTCCATTGAAAGTCAAATAATATAGAAACAAAGATGGAAGAGATATTTTACTTTATGATGTCAAATACAGGAAAACTCTCTACTTAAGAGTTTGAATATTCAGAAATAGCTGACAAAAAATGAGCAGACACTAATGAAGACTGAAACATGATATTAATATCATGAAAATACTTTCTTCAACATAGTTTTCTTCCCACTAGTTGTCTTTTTTTCCCCCTTTTCCTTAACACTGATAGCACTTGACATAAATTAGAAAGTCCCTAATCACAAATTTCAAGAATCTCCTTATTAACCACAAGACAGCTTATTATGGGTGCATACAGATGGGTGGGTACATGTGGCTTTCCTAAAGTTTCCTCAAGGTGTAATAAAAATATATGATAGATAGCAATCTTTTCTAGTTTATCCCCTTGAAATACTCCACCTATTAAAGTTACCTGTCTACAATCCTAGCACAAAACTACTTATGTGTGAATAAACAGTAAAATTTATAACCTAGAGTATCTGAAAATGATTCTAATTCCACCTCATTATACTCTAACCTGCATTCTATTTTTTCCTCAGGATTTCTCTCATAAAGTCATTTGCTTTGCCAATAAAATAGAAAACGCATACTATTTCATTTGTAGTAAAACAAGTTTTAATAATTCATGTCAGCTTTAAGGAATTGCCTTCCTTAATATACCAAAATCTAATTTATAATACCAATAATTATTATATGAAATTAAATTCCCACATCACTATTTTCTAATTTTAAGATTCTGACTGCTTTTAAGCAAGAAAATTGTTTATCTTCTACGAATATTTTCCATAAGCTCCATCCCTGCACTTCAATTATTATACAGTACCAAATTTATAAATACTTTCATTTAAAAAGTCCACCAGACAATCCAGGTAGCCAACCTTTCCAATCACATTTTTCAGTTCTTAAAAGAGCATTTTCTCTACTTACAGATAAATGATGATCATTTGGAAACTGAAGATTCTCTCTCAGAGAAATAGATCAGTTTCCCCATCCTTCCCTTACTTAAAACAAGGTTGCTGTTTCTGGCTGTGGAAGTTGTCTCCTGGCACGTGTGTATTAATCAAAATACTGGCAGGGAGACACATACAACTTTAAGGGAGTATTTCTGTTGTAGTTTGATGTGTTAGCAAATTATGAACAGGAAAAAAAATGCTCGGTACAAAGTTATTACACTTCATTTTAAAATGGAAACTTAAGACTGAGTATATCCAAAAACTGCAGTTCTCAGTGACATTAATAACGCTGTAACTTATGCCAGCTTCTCATATTGACTATAACAAACATCTCAATGATCGCTCCTATGTGCGTATAAGAAGGGAGGACAGTAAGTTCAATGATCAAATATTCTAAGTGTGGGAACATATATTCAACATCAACTTTTCTTGTATATTCATAATACTTATCAGCATTCTAAAGGTGCTAAGAAATCCTGTACTAAGCAGCTGTTAAACTAACTTAATTCACTACTCTCAAAATTGATTTTGTCACAGAACTTTGTCTATGTCTTTTTTTCTCCCCACAGAATGGAATATGGGAATAAACAGCATGGTGAATATTGAGTCATGCTTCATGTGTATGATGCCATATGAAGTGCACCAATTTTTAATGACAGTCATTAAAGAAAATCAAATAGATTATAGGCTACAAATACTGACATTATTACTATTTCACAAAGTTTAAGAAAATCGGAAATTAAATATTGCCTTTCAATTTTGGTATAAAAGCTTGAGTTTCAAGCAAAAGGTAAATTTCAAGATTTTAAATGTTAGGCAACTGCATAGAAGTTTTTAATTCAAAAATTTTATGTAAAAAACATGCTGCAGTAACTGAACATTAAGCCACTGACTTCAGCTCTATGTGGTTAACAGTAAAGAATGATGATTTTTTTTTTTTTAGGATTTATTTATTTATACATACAAGAACTGGGGTACAGGCCAGAGATGTAGGGGGTGAGGAGATTCACCAGAGACAGTGTGGGGAACAGAACAGGCAGACTGACTGAAATACACTGCTGAGGGGAGCAGTGGGCAAGTCAGGAAAGATCTGCTGCACCATGTGGGTAGCTCCCTGGCCGGGGGTCGAACTTGTGCTACAGTGGCTGCGGCGAGCTTCATACGTTGCAACTCAACCCCTTGTGCCACCAGGGAGGCCCAAGAATGATGACCTTTGTAAGAAAAGAACTGATCTTGAACTGAATCAAATTCTTGCTTATGTTCTTTCTTACCCCTCCTTTCTTCCTATATACATTTAGGCTAAGGCAAGAGAAACAAAAGCAAACCATTTTCTGTTATTCTTGTTTACTTACCTAGTATTTTCACAGTATAATGAGGACTTTCTAAGACAATTCCTTCTTCTGTATCAAATATAGGGTTATCTATTCCAGTCTTTGGCGGAATTTGGGCTAATTTCTTAAGTCTCATGGAAGAATTAAGGTCAAGTTCTTGTTTTTTCCCTTCTTCCTCTCGCCTACGCCTCATGTCTTCCTGTTGTTGCCGAATACGCTCCAACTGTGCACTTCGACGTACTGGCATCATCCTGGTGCCCAAATCTCCTGGGCAGTCAACAGCCATCTCTCGGTGCTTCTGATGTTCCACTGGTGATGCAAGATCAACATTTTTTACTTCGCTGTCTGATTCCTCAGTAACATGCCCATTCATATGGGATGTTGTCATGGTTATCTAAAAGAACCTGTACCACTTTTTATAACTCAATTTTTCCTATAAAGCCAATCTCTTGATTCTGTAGTATAAAATCCATGTTACTTCAAAAACAAAAACAAAAACAAAAACAAAAAAAAAACAAAAAACTTCTCACATCACATAATAATGCTATGAAAATGTATCCATGAAGGAAATCTAAGGGAAAGATGGGGGAAAAAAGTATGAGAATTACAATACAAAAGATTTTACACAGCCCACTTCTAATTACATAATATAGAAAGTACCTCGTAAGTACATAACATTTTTTTACTATACTATTTTCATTTTATAGATAATGGTTAGGAAAGCAAGGTAATTCAACACACACAAAAAGCCCCTTCTCATGAATTTAAAGTATACACTGTTTAATTTTACAGCTGAGAAAAATGATCTTTAGAAAGTTCAGCAAAGTAAGAAAGTAAAGTTTTGGGTACTAATTAGTAGAGAATGGGTTGCTTAAGTCATAAAGATGTTTTAATCATCTTTGTAGAGTATTCGCAAAAGTGAACTTTACATTCAACTGATACACATGAGACTGTAGTAGCCTCATAGTTACTGCCAAAGAAACTAGAACTGGGCATACAACAAGCCATGCTAGTGGCTCACTTGAGATAAAGGCAATATTCTGGAGGACAATTCAATTTCAGGAGGTTATGAGAGGAAGAAGATAACCAAAAGAAAAGAAACTTTAATTAGAAGCTCAGAGGTCTACAGAATAAAACCACTTTAGGTGATGCAAATTATGTAGGTTATTGGTCTTTTTAATTGGTCACATCAAAAAAAGCATTAGGATTAATTCTTTGAGGTTCATCCAGACAAAATGGTAATAACTTACCATTAAAAAATTTTAGGTCACACTGTAAAGCAAATCAATTGGAGACCAGAAAACTGAATTTTAATTATGACTCTGCCACTTCCTCTAGTTTTAACTTGACTTAACTAGACAGTTTCTCAGATTCATTTGGAAGCTTATTCACAGGATTGTTCTGAGTTTTAAATGCAGTAATACATGAAATTTTAAAAATACAAAATATATTTATATTAATTCTTAATGTTAATTTGATTCTTTTTTAAAAAAAATCTTTCAACATATTTTAAGACAAGAAAAATATTTTACTGGATGATGCTGGCTTTTCATCAAGCCATTTCTCAGGCATAAATAGGCAGACTGTTTATATGAGTAAACCCACACGTTAAATCTAATTAGTCTTCTTTTGCTCAAGACTTTAAAAATATTTTTAATAATAAACCTACTACACTTCCTTGAGCTGAGCATCACTTCAATAAACAGGGTGGTTAAGGCTGCCAACTAAGCAAAAGCTGAGTTTTCAGATAATATTCTTAATGTCAATCAATCTTCACTCAAACAAACATCTTGTCATAGTCTGCTTAATACATGAACCACCTGGACTACCAGGAAAACCATAATACCATCAATCAGGAAAATAGATGCAAACTATGTAAGTCACTAGAATTACACGTCACAAGAATTCTGGCAGATTTTCTGTTTTCTACACAAATTTTATCTTCTCTTTTTATAATTTTGTGAACCACACATACATATCTTATTTGTCATTAGATTGCCTTCTTTTTCATTAAAATGAGTGCTTTTAGAATTGTTAGGCAATTCATAAGTTTTAAATGTTAATGCAAATATAAATTAATTTTAGTGAATATTTTCATTAAAAGCAGAAATTTTTATAGAAGTTACTGTGGTGCTATACTTAATTTAATTAAATAAAAATTTGAATAAAATAAAATCTAACAATGAATAAAGTACGTTTTTACTTTTATGCTAGTTTGCAAAATAATATGATCTGAAATCAAGACTCCTAGCTTAACTCTTAAGTTTGTGTCCATATTCACAATACGAAACTGGAAAGGGGTTGTACATCTTAAAAGAAAGCCTAGGTCAGGGGTCTCATATTTGAACTATTAGCATGCTGTCTATCTGGATCTACTCTTTTATTCTCAAATAAAATTTTTGCAACCTGTTATTAATTTGCTTAAAATTCCATTTTGCTCATCTCACTTGGAGTGTTCACAGTCTATAGGAAGAGACAGAAAAGAAAATAAATGATATTCTTCCCTGATTGGGCTCTCCTCATTAGATTCCAAATTCACTTTACAACAAGAGTCCTGTCTTATTTTCAATATCCCCAATGCTTAGCACATGTCAAACAGGAAATACCCAATAAATATTTGTTGAACTACAATTAGAAAATCATAAATTTGCAGGATACACAAATAATGGACTTTAAAACTTTAGTCTGTGATAAGGAGTCATAAGAGACACTCAAAACATAAGGATACATTTCTTTGAATAGCATGTCAAAGAACAAGTAAAAATTAGCCAGTAGAACAATCTATTCTAGGCAGAGAATCATGTGGCCAATTGGTAGGAAAAGTATGATTGCATAATCACTTTCAGATAACAAAACAGAATTCAATAAGGCTGGATGGATGGGATAATGGGAGCATGTTGTATATGAAAAGTCCTAGAAGTGGAAAAGGAGAGCAGGGGCCAGATTGAGAAGAGTTTAATATCTAAAGACTTTGATCTTTATCCTGAAAGTACTAAGAATTATTGCAGAATTTTAAGCAGGGGATGACAAGATCACATACATGTTGGTATCATTTTGGTAGAAATGTAGAGGATTGACTGAAGGGTAGCAATAAAACCTGTCTGAAATAAATTATAGGAAACAGGATCCTGAACTAAGACAGTGAGAAGGAAGAAAATTTTATCAAAAAATGTATACATCACAGATTAAAACTTGGCATCTACATTTCAAAAGAAAAGGAAATACTAGTAGCAGTAAAAATAGTGTTAGTAGTAATAACAACTATAACATTTACTGAGCACTTTATGTGCTAGAGAATACTGTACACACTTTACAGGTATTCATTCACTCTTATTCCTCATCTTCTCTAGAAGTAGGTCCACACATGCCTGTTTTAGAGATGAGGAATGAGTATTGAAGTGGTCTCACAGATAGGATGCAGGAATAAGGAAGAAATCTTATGAATCTAAGAGAGGACAATAAAAGGTATGGGGAAAGCACAAACAGGGCCAGCCGAACTAAAACAGTTTGTCTTAGGAAAGCATGATATGGCCAGGAAGTTTGATTGGGTCCAACTTACAAAAGGTCTTAATTCTCAAGGCAGTAAGAGAGACATGACAGATTTAGAAAAGAAAGGCGATTTGTACATACATCTATTTGAACATGTGCCCTGGCTAGGTACTAAGATTACAGAGACAGGACCCCCATCTATTAGTCTGTCAACCAACATGTCATAGAGGAATGACATAGAGGGAGAAACTAATGTGTCCAATGTGTGCAAGTTCCTATTCCTTCAAGAAATCTTTCCAGGTTATTTGGATGAAATAATAATGTCACCGCACAATACTTCAAGACTATAATGTCACAAATTAACTCATGAGAATATGGAAATATTCTCAGTTCTCCCAAAATCAAAGAAATATTATTCTATATCCTACAGTTTCAGTATTAAGATGACTGTAATTTTTAAACAGGTAACGGAATACTCTACCTTATATATGTAGTCAATACACATTAATAAATAGTGAGAGACCCAGTTCAAAGGAATTACAATTTACCTCTCAATACATAAGTGATTTTTTGACAATTCAGAAGCTGGTAAATAACAGAACTAGAGTATGACTTCCTTACATGAAAATACGAGGCTATCTTAAGTAAATAATATAGCAAGAACTTGCTGACCCTCAGATTATTCCTCTCTTCTCAATCCTCTAATTATAAATAATTTTTAAATGCCTCTAAGGTTCACATTTCCTCATTACAATTCCAGTTTGTAATCCTCACAAAACCAGAAAATAAATCAAAACTTTTTATATACTCCATAAAACAAAAGAATGAATTTTTAGGTTATCAGGACAAAGCTGTTTCAAATGCTAACTTCAAACTAGTGGGAGAGAAAGGGCTTTGCATATGTGAAATGTGTATAGGAGAATGGGCAAAAAGAAGTTAAATAAGCTTCGGTAAATGCAGACAGTGGAGACTGAGGGGCCTAAAATAGACTGAGGGATATAGGCCCACCAAAAACTCCACCAAAAAACAGGATGATTTGTGTGAAAGTTGGGGATCAATGATAGCTTAGCAGGAAGACAATTTCTTACATAATCAGTATGCTAGTTGTTAGACAGCAAGAAACAAAAAAAAATCCACTTCACATTTTGCATAAACATGGTCAGTCGATTTATACTAGCGTCCAAAATGCTAGATTTTTTTTTCCAATTCATCCTTCCTCTCCTTCTCCCACAAGTAATGCCCTTTGACCAGCAGCTGGGAAACTCATTTTAAGTGATCAGCATTCCTGTGACATTCTAAGAAGTTGGACTATTTGTTTCCCTAGAAACAGCATTGTCAGCTAACACAAGATTTAGGCCAAGAATAGTGAAAAGGACTTACATTATGCAAATCGGAAAGACCTTGTCTACTATCCTCTTAGTTTTTCTTCCCTGGTTTTTCATAGAACTCGGACTTTCTTGCTCTGTAAAAAAAAAAAAAAAAAAAGGCAGCGAGAAAGAGAGAGAGAAAGAGAAAATTAATCAAATATAGACATCTGCAGTGTCTTTTTATTGAGGAGGGGGCTGAGGTGGAGGAAGGTTAATTCAATATGAAATCCAATTTTGTTTGCAGATGGGTAGAATTTCTTAGTATTGCAGTCATAAAAATGCACCCCCAACTCAATCTCTAAAGGACACCAATTACAGTCAATATAAATTAACTGAAATCAGTGATAAGAATAAACATTTCAAACTGGTTCAAAAGCTTTTTAAAAAGGAAGAGCCCCTCTAGCAAAAAGATCCCAAAATAATTTGACAGACAGGAACCACAGTTAATTCAGAGGAAATGTTGATGCTGTGTTGAAAACGAAGGCAAAAAGAGGATCCTATCCTAAGGAGGTCACATCCTGGTACAGTAACATAAAAAACACACAAGCTAATTAAGAAAACTTCAGATAAAGGGCGACAGAGAAAACAAAATATAATAGTGACTGATGTCTAGAAGGGACAACATTAGATAAAAATGGTAAGGGAAGATGGCAGCAGGTGACACCTGAGCTTACTGATTAGAAGAAGAGAAAAAAGGAAAAAGGGAAGGGTCAGCTGTGGGAAGATCCGGAAATAGAGGGTTCCAGGTTGAGGCAACAGAAATACGTTTCTGTGTATGTCCCCAAGAATCTCAATTTCAATATAATCCAAACTGAACTCAACTTCTTTGCCTACTATTATTAACTATAACACAATCACCAAAATCTTTATCTTCCTTAAACTCTATTATCCAATCAGTTGCCAAATGTGCTCATTCCACAAGGCTTTCAGAATCCAAAGGGCAAAATACGCCACTGAAAGATAATGTCAAAAAAATGTAAGGACAAACTAAAATAAGAGAAATATGTGCAACATATTTACGCTTCCTATAAATACCTTCACCATTCAATAAGTCAAACTATTTAATTTTTAAAAATAGAACAAGAGAATATAAATGTAAAAAATAACATTTGGAGAAATAATGAATATCCTTAAGCATTAGAAAAATGCAAATTAAAACAGTAAAATACTGAAATGAGAGAAATTTTTTTGTTTTGTTTTTTGATAATAAATTTAATTTTTATATTCCCCATACAATTGCAACCCCCCCATTCTGACCCCAATCCCGCCCCTCCCGCCTCCTACCCCCCATAGAGTGTCTCTGGTTCATAGTTTTTTGTTGATTTTGATTTTCACTTTCTTATAGTTATTCATTTTCCTGGTCCCTTATTTAAGTTTTCTAGATTTCTGCTATGAGTGAGACCATCCGGTATTTTTCTTTTTCTTTCTGGCTTATTTCGCTGAGCATGATCCCATCCAGCGCCATCCATGTTGCTGCAAATTGCATGTGTTTATCTGTTTTGAACACTGAGTAATATTCCATGGTATATATGTACCACATCTTCTTGATTCAGTCATCTATTTTGGGGCATTTGGGTTGTTTCCAAAGCTTAGCTATTGTAAATAGTGCTGCTATAAACATAGGGGTGCAGGTGCTCTTTGGAATTGATGTTTCTGTGTCCTTTGGGTAAATACCTAGGAGTGGAATTGCTGGATCATATGGAAGCTCTATGTTTAGTAGGTCCAGAAATCTCCACACAGCTCTCCATAGTGGTTGGACCAGTTTGCACTCCCACCAACGGTGCAGGAGAGTTCCTTTTTCTCCACAACCTCGCCAACATTTGTTGTTGCTAGTTTTTTTAATATGTGCCATTCTCACTGGTGTAAGATGGTATCTCATGGTAGTTTTGATTTGCATTTCCCTGATTACAAGTGATGTTGAACATTTTTTCATATGCCTGTTGGCCATTTGCATTTCCTCTTCAGAGAAGTTTCTTTTTAGCTCTTCTGCCCATTTTTTGACTGGATTATTTTCTTTGTTGTTGTTGAGTCTCATCAGCTCTTTGCAGATTTTTGTGATCAGTCCTTTATCATTAGTGTTGGGTGCAAAAATGTTCTCCAGTTGGTGGGGTTTCTCTTTGTTTTTGTTATTGTCTCTTTTGCTGTGCAGAAGCGCTTTATTTGATGTAGTCCAGCTGTTTATCTTTGCCTTCACTATCACTGCTTTGGGTGATGTGTCTGTAAAGATGTCTTTGATGTGCATATCATGTAGTGTTTGGCCTATATTTCCTTCTATGTATTTTATGGTTTCAGGTCTTATGTCTAGTTCTTTAATCCATTTTGAGTTGATTTTTGTGTATGGTGTGAGGTAGTGGTCAAGCTTCATTCTTTTGCATGTAGCGACCCAGTTTTCCCAGCACCATTTATTGAACAAACTTTCTTTGCTCCAATGCATAGTCTTTGCTCCTTTGTCAAAGATTAGTTGACCATAAATCTGTGGGTTTATTTCTGGATTTTCTATTCGATTCCATTGGTCTGTATGTCTGTTCTTGTTCCAATACCATGCAGTTTTGATGATTATGGCTTGTAGTATAGTTTGAAGTCTGGGAGTGTGATGCCTCCATTCCCTTCTTTTTTTTTCAGGAGAGCTTTGACTATTCGGGGTTTTTGGTGATTCCATATGAATTTCATCAATAATTGTTCTATTTCTTTGAAGAATGACATTGTAATTTTGATTGGCATAGCACTGAATCTGTATATTGCTTTTGGTAGGATGGCCATTTTAATAGTGTTTATTCTTCCAATCCATGAGCAAGGGCTGTCTTTCATTTCTTTGTGTCTTCTATTTCTTTTAACAGTGTTTTATAGTTTTCTTTGTATAGGTCCTTTACCTCTTTTGTTAGATTTTTCCCAAATATTTGATTTTTTTTGTTTCGATAATAAAAGGGGTTTTTTTTATTTCTTCTTCAGATTTATTGTTTGTGTATAGGAAGGATACTGACTTTTGCATTTTGATTTTGCACTTTACTGAACTGATTGATGAGTTGAATTAGTTTTTCTGTGGAGTTTTTGGGGTTCTCTATGTATATTATCATATCATCTGCAAATAGTGATAGCTTGACTTCTTCTTTTCCTATTTGGATTCCTTGCATGTCTTTCTCTTGTCTTATTGCTCTGGCTAGGACTTCCAGTATTATATTGAAAAGCAGTGGTGAGAGTAGACATCCTTGTCTTGTTCCTGATCTTAATGGAACTGCTTTCAGCTTTTCACCATTGAGAATGATACTGGCTGTTGGCTTGTCATAGATTATGCCTTTATGATTTGAGGTATGTCCTTGTATCCCCAAGAATTTCAAGTGCTCTTATCATGAATGGGTATTGCACATTGTCAAAAGCTTTCTCAGCATCTATTGATATTATCATATGGTTTTATATTTCTTTTTGTTGATGTGTTGGATACCGTTGATTGATTTTCGGATGTTGAACCATCCTTGTGTCCCTGGAATGAATCCTACTTGGTCGTGGTGAATTATCTTATGGATACATTGTTGGATTCTGATAGCTAAAATTTTATTGAGGATTTTTGCATCAGTGTTCATTAGGGAGATTGGCCTGTAGTTTTCCTTTTTTGTGCTGTCCTTGTTCGGTTTTGGTATTAGTGTAATGTTGGCTTCACAGAACATGTTTGGTATTGTCCCTTCCTTCGCAATTTTTTGGAAGAGTTTGTGAAGGATAGGCACTAATTCGTCTCTAAATGTTTGGTAGAATTCATTTGTAATTCCATCAGGTCCTGGCTTTTGTTTTTTGGGGAGGTTTTTGATTACCATTTCATTTCGCTGCTTGTAATTGGTCTGTTTAGGTGTTCTATTTCTTCCTTATCTAACTTTGGGTGATTGTAGAGTTGTAGGAATTTGTCATCTCCTCTAGATGTTGAACTTGTTTCCATATAACTGTTCATAGTAGTTACTGATTATTCTTTGATTTCTGCTTTGTCGTTGTGATTTTCCTCTTTCATTATGATCCTGTTT